TTAACTATGCACACTGCTGAGTGGTCACAACCCTGCTGGGAACCAACATCTTTGAAAATTGCTCATTTTTCTCTTGAGAATGAAGAGCCTTAGCCAAAAGAGATTAATCAGACTTGCACACCTGGCTTCACACAGTTTGCTTCTCTGCTGTCACGTGAGTGCTTTGTGCAATGATTTAAGACTCTGGTAATGTTCCACTGAGAAGATGCATATCACGGACTCCATGTTCGTATTTCCACTGTCCAGCTTCATATTCTTCTAGAGATGTCCATGCTTGATGGATATACCATGCTGGAGACGATAACTGTTTACATCCCTGGTTCATACATCACATACGTTGTGAAATTAAAACAAACAGCTGAAAGAATTACAAAACACAGTCATCTCACTCTTACATGCAGGGACAAGTTGTTCTCTCATTTACTCCAGATGATGGTAGCGCAGTTTCCAACAGTGTGCCTGGAGCCCATGGATTTGAGCAAGGCCCCGTTTGTTCAGCACACTCACTGATCTGACCATGTCTTTATTACTGATGTCAGTGAAGATATACTGGTACATTTCCAAGCAAATGGATCAAACTCTCCTCCTGTTGGAGTCATTCTCCTTTCAGCCATTTTTTTTAACAAAATAGAATTCTCCTGAAGGTGAAGGGCAGAAAAGTAGATTTAATGCCTCTGGTTCATTTTCAAGGCTCTATTGAGGTATTAGGATCATATTCATACAGGCTCAAGGACTTGCATGAAATACAGTCCGTCTGAATGAAGCCTTACATTAAAAATACTGGACAAGATTTCTGGCAGGTGTCCAACGGAGTCACCCAGCGTTGATACCAATGAAAACATGTTGATGTGAAGAATTTCTTTAAATTTAAGGGGAAACTAAACCTTTGTTGTGAAGAGTGGAAACTAGAGTATGAACATCTGGTTCATGATGGAGTATGTGGTTACTTGGGGTAGTTAAGCCGGACTTGTTCTCCCATGCAACTGGAAAGCTGCAGTGCCTCTGTCACAACTCTACTAGGTGAATGTTTGCATGAGAAAGGAAAAGAAATTTTCACTATATTTTAGAAGAAAGATGGATTCCTGTTTGCTTTATACCTGAATCAATTGGCAGCACTCCCAAAATACAATATTGCTCTAATCTTCAGGATCACAGAAGGCAGCAAACCTAGTTGATACTCCCAGTTATTATTTTGTCAGAAGCAAGGGGTTCCTGCAGAATTACCAAACTGACCTCTTTGAATTAACTATTATGGAGGACTTCTCTGCATTGGTGGGACATCCAGGTGCACACACTGTCAGGTGAAGATGTTAATTGAGATACAGCAGAAGAGGATCTAAAACCAACAGTCAAACCTGCACTTTTCAAAATGGAAGCTCAGATCTCAGTGCAGTCTTTGTAATTCAGGACTAGCTCTAGAAGTGAAATTGCCTGGAGCACAAATGCATGAAAGCACTTTGTTACTACAAATCCCGTAGGAGCCTTATTCTTAGGGCTGTATACAATTTAGTCTTTTTGTTATTTACCTTTTATTGAGGATGGTGTGTTCTTTTATGCAGGATACAAAGAGGAAATATCCACAGATAACGTCTATGTAAGAAAAAAACAGTAACTTGGAGACCTTCTGTGCTTGAATAAAAAATCCTGGAAGTATTTTTTTCCTGCTGTACAGAAGGCAATCTGCTTTAGAGGACAGGGCAGTGCCCTGTGGTTTGGCAATCCCATGAGTTAGATTTCAGCCTTGGTAGAGCCGTCAGAAGAATTTTTGCCTTCAAGAGCCATGTCAAGTGGGTATGATACTGCACTGAAACCCAAACGACTCGACTTGTGCTCTCTGTAACTCTCCCACTCTGCAATGTGGAGAGACCACTTTCCCTCCATGCCTCTGTTTCATCTGTGCACAGCCTTTGCCTCTCCTATGTCTTTAGCCTACAAGCCCTTTGAAGAAAGGGAAGACTTGCTGTCATCTTGTTGTTCCTAGCGTAGTAAAAAAAATAGTGCCAGGTGAATATTGTGGATGCTGTGAAGCTACTACTAGCTTTAAAAAAAATGTAATGTCATATGTGAGCTTGGCTCCATGCGTGGTCTTTTTCCACATTGCTGTCCTTAACCAGTTTCCAGAAGTATTAGTCCTTGGAAGTCCTAGTATCAACCTTGTGCACCCTGGCTGGTAAATATGGATACTAATACAGGCAATACCCAGAACAGGCCAGGGGGGAGGAAGGAATAAAAGGAGCAAGGAGAAGGATAGTTAATGCTAAAAAGAACCATCTGGAAAAGGACTTTAGAAATCTGATATCACTCAGGAGGGTGATGACCTTTGAAATCTGGAGGGCAACATCCTTTCTCAGCTTTCTCAGGTCAAAAGGATGAGGAGAAGGCTGAGTTGGTGAATGCCTTTTTTGCCTCAGTCTTTAGTAATGGAATAGGGTGTCCCCTGAGCCAGCAGATAAGGGCAGGGAACAGAATGAAGCCCCTGTAATCCAAAGGGAAGCGGTGAGGGACCTGCTCCAGCACTTAGACACAAACAAGTCTATGGGCCCAGCTGGGATCCACCCGAGGGTACTGAGGGAGCTGGCGGAAGTGCTTGCGGAGCCACTCTCCATCATTTACCGGCAGTCCTGGCAAACTGGGGAGGTCCCAGCCGACTGGCGTCTGGCAAATGTGATGCCCATCCACAAGAAGGGCCGGAAGGATGATCCGGGGAGCTACAGGCCTGTCAGTCTGACCTCGGTGCCTGGGAAGGTCATGGAACAGATCATCCTGAGTGCCATTATGCAGCACACGAAGGACGCCCAGGTGATCAGGCCCAGCCAGCACGGGTTCATGAGGGGCAGGTCCTGCTTAACAAACCTGATCTCCTTCTATGACAAAGTGACCCGCTTGCTGGATGAAGGAAAGGCTGTGGATGTTGTTTACCCGGATTTTAGCAAGGCCTTTGATACAGTCTCCCACAGTATTCTTCTGGAGAAACTGGCTGCTCATGGCTTAGGTGGGTGTACTCTGCACTGGGTTACAAACTGGCTGGAGGGCCGGGCCCAGAGAGTGGTGGTAAATGGAGTCAAATCCAGTTGGTGGCCAGTCACGAGTGGTGTCCCACAGGGCTCAGTACTGGGACCTGTTCTCTTTAACATCTTTATCAATGATCTGGACGAGGGGATCGAGTGCACCCTCAGTAAGTTTGCAGATGACACCAAGCTGGGTGGTAGTGTCGACCTGCTGGAGGGTAGAAAGACTTTGCAGAGGGATTTGGACAGGCTGGATCGATGGGCTGAGACCAACAGGGTGAGTTTCAATAAGGCCAAGTGCCGGGTCCTGCACTTGGGTCACACCAACCCCCTGCAGTGCTACAGGCTTGGGGAAGAGTGGCCGGAGAGCTGCCTGGCAGAAAAGGACCTGGGGGTGTTGGTCGACCAGGTGGCCAAGAAGGCCAATGGTATCCTGGCCTGTATCAGGAACAGCGTGGTGAGTAGGACCCGAGAGGTGATCATCCCCCTGTACTCGGCACTGGTGAGGCCTCACCTTCAGTGTTGGGTCTAGTTTTGGGCCCCCTTACCACAAAAAAGACATTGAGGTGCTGGAGTGGGTCCAGAGAAGGGCAATGAAGCTGGTGAGGGGGCTGGAGAGTAAGTCTTATGAGGAGAGGCTGAGGGAGCTGGGGTTGTTCAGTCTGGAGAAGAGGAGGCTGAGGCGAGACCTTATCGCGCTCTATAACTACCTGAAGGGGGGGTGTAGAGAAGCGGGGATCGGTCTCATCTCCCAAGTCCCAGGAGATAGGACAAGGGGAAATGGCCTCAAGTTGCACCAGGGGAGGTTTAGATTGGATATTAGGAAACATTTATTCACCGAAAGGGTCATCCAGCATTGGAATAGGCTGTCCAGGGAGGTGGTTGAGGCACCGTCCCTGGAGGTGTTCAAAAGATGGGTTGACATGATCCTCAGGAATATGGTTTAGTGATTTTTATTTCTTATTTATTTTTTTTGTCAGAGTTAGGTTGATGGTTGGACTAGATGATCTTTAAGATCCCTTCCAACCTAGACGATTCTGTGCTCTTAGTATAGGTGGTGGCCGTTTTCCACCATTTTGGAAACTACAAGCCCTCCCATTAACTTTTTTTCCGTTCTGAAAACATTTCACAGTGCAACTCCAAAAATCTCAATCCTGCAGTTGAGTCCTGGCAGACAGAACAGATCTGATTGTGGACCTTTCATTGATTTCCCATAGAAGTCAGGGGAATCTTTGCCTGGCAGATTAACTATGTGATTCAAGGAATATGCCTAGTGTTAAAAAGGTTAAAATTCAGTGTATGAGTCCAGAGAAAAGTGCCCACCAAGAAGTTTGTAAAAGAATACATCAACCCTAACAATCTTCTGCCCATTACCATTTTCTCCTCCTGCGTCCTTTGTTTTTCCAGACCACTGCTATTTAGTATTCAAACCCTATTTCTTTTCTCTCTCGCCCTGTAATGTGATTTTTTAACACCAGATGTTTTGCCCATTACAAAGCTGTAAGAAATGTGGCTTGTAGTGATTGCACTGCAATGACTGAGAAGGATCAGGAGTCCCTGAGCTTTTGCTCCAGCAGTGATGGTGGTGAGTCATCCTGTAACTTCAGACACCGAATTGCTCTTCCCCCTGTTTGCGTGCTTGTTGAGCGGGAGACATCACGCTTACCTCACAGGGCTGTTCTGGAGGATTAGAGCTTTGGAGCGTCAAAGTGCGCCACAAGCCTTGTTAAGCATTGCTTAACGTGTTTATTAAGGGGCATGCACAGCCCTGGGATGTTTTTCGTGAGACTCATAAGTGCCACAAAACAACAGTATTTTTTCTGAAGACCGTGCTGAGCACACGCTATGCAGAGCTGCCTGTCACAGCAGGGAAGGGGTGCGCACTCCCACATTGACTAGCAACCTCAGTACCTGCTCGCCCAGGCAGACACTTTGATCTCCATCATAGTGACATGAAAATTAATACCAAGGCCTCTCTTTCTTCTGTTTTAGATCCTGGCGCTCCTGTGAAACTGCCTTGTATGCCAGTTAAACTGTCACCTCCACTACCTCCAAAGAAAGTCATGATCTGCATGCCTTTAGGGGGGCCAGACCTCTCTCTCTCATCCTATTCCACGCAGAAGAGCTCCCAGCAGCCTTTGACCCAGCACCATCACACTGTCCTGCCATCCCAGTTAGCAGCTCACCAGCACCAGTACGGCAGCCACAGCCAGCACCTGCCTTCCGGATCCAGCACGTTGCCCATTCACCCTTCAGGGTGCCGGATGATAGAGGAACTGAACAAAACACTAGCCATGACCATGCAAAGGCTAGAAAGGTAATGAATCAACTTTTAAAATTACATATTGATGTGCACTGTTGCCTGATAACCTCGCTATCAGTATCACCACTTGAGTTATGTTGATAGTACTTGAGTGAAGCCTCTCCTCTGGATGTCTGACAACTCTAGGGAAGTCATTGCTGGAGAAACAGAGATGGGGAAAGAGCCTGTCCTGACTTGTTTTACAAGTTTGTGTCAGAGAGGAGAAAAAGACCACATTTCCTTAACCCCATTGTTCTGTGCAAGGAGTGATATAACACAGCCAGCAGAGAAGGTGTTAATTGGACATGCCTGGCTTGCAATATGTACTGCAGAGTGCATAACTGCAAAGCTGTGGTTACGTGGAGGATTGCTTAAAAAAAACAGGAGAGGAAGTATGAAGTTCAAAAAACAGCAATAAAAACCAAATGGGCCACTCAGCCAGGGCATATGATTAGTATTACCAATTAGCTCGAAACAACCTATGAGGACTTCCTACAAGTCACTCAGAGGGATTTTAATATAGTATTTCAATTAATTTAAATTAAATTATATGCTTGATCTTAAAATAAGTATTTAACCATTCCACAGCAGCTACCTTCTTAGCCATTTGCATCTGGAGGAAGGTTGTACATTTGATCAGAAGAGCCTTACCTACCTTGGCTGTTTTCTGTTACTGTCACTTGCAGGTGTATCTGAATGCTACTTCAAATAGTCTAAGCAAGTGAAGCATGTTGTATAAATGCAAGCTACTCATAGACTGCAAGATCAGCAAGCTTTGGAAAATTTATTTCATCTTGTAGAAGAAAATTGAGCAAGTCCCAGAATAGGGAAGGTAATCCAAAAAATGACATGTTCTAGTCAGTATCAAGGGCAGCTTTGTAACCAGCTTGTTCTAGGAGCATCAGATCATCCTCCTCTTAGACAGGATGTGAAAATATTTGGTCTAACAGACAAAATTCCTAATGATTTGCTCCAATACCTCCTTGCAATAATGTTACCTTCATTATAGCAAATGGTTAAAAAGAATTCGATTAGGGATCCAGACTCTCCTTACTGCATAAAAAACAGGCAGGGGACCAGCGGCTGTCCCACTCTGCCAGCTTATTTTAGTACCAGGATAGTGAGACCTATGTGCTTATATCAGGGAGGGGCTGATGTTTCTGCAGCGTGGGGAAATCTCTGCTGGGGAGGGAGTTCCTCTTCCCATTAGGAAAAGGGCTGTAGCAGTAGGGTTGGAAAAAGCATCCACATTCCCCCTTGTGCCCAGTGACTACCCAGTTACAGCTCACATTGCCGGCAGGGCTGGTCTGATGCATCTACATCTCCCCAAAGCTTGGAGCACCTAACACAGAGGGGAGCTGGTCTCTCCCAAAGGCTCCTTTGGGGCTGCGCTGCCCATGCCATCCCCAGCATAGGTCTTGCTGTCTGGCTCACGCTGCGTGCAGAAGGCACTTTGTTATCCTGAGCCCAGCGACATCTCTCAGAGTATGACTTCATTGTGGCATCTGTTGCCCCACAGCAATGAATGCTCCAATTTCTAGATATCCATCATGTTTATGTCTACAAATACGTTAAACTGATTTGAAGAAGGTGATGCTGTTTCGTTTTAACTATTGATTTGAAGCTGAAGCTCTGCTGCTTATTAAAAACTGGATAAGCAAGGATTCATTTCCCAATATGAAGCAATTGCCTCCCATTGCAGAAGAAAATAAGAAAAGGTTGTGGCACCAATATTTCACATTTGAAATGAAAATGAATCCTAGTTCATAATATTGCAGGCAGTTGATTTTTCATAGCCTTTTTGCGTTGATTAATTATTATTTCCATCACAAAATAAAGTATTGAGTACTTCAGTTATTCTCCTTAGTGTCAAAACAAATCAATAACATTTGTATTCACAGGAGAGAAAATAGGTGATGACTGCTTCCTCTGCAAGAGTAATTGTTATTTTCATAGTATTTTGAGGTAAAAGTATTTCAGAGTATTTACAGGTCTGCAGAGCTGACACTTGCTGTTAAAATCTTAAATTGCTTTTTCAGGCCAGATTATGGTCTTAGTAAATTTGCTGACTTCTACTGAAGATTTTTAAAATACACGTATTTAACTTAGGAGAGGATTATTTGCACCTAATGCCACTATTTTCTAGTATTTTTGACAGTAGTTCTTTTCCCTTAATCGTATAAAATCTGAATTAAACCTAATAGAAATGCTGTGGTCTTTGTCATCAGACACGTCAGCCCAGAAGTCTTGAGGCCCTGTTAAAACTACAAAGGTCCTGGATCTGCTTTCCTCCGTTTCAGATTCGGTAGTGTGCTCACTGGTGTTGCACTCCTAGGATATGCACTGACATCCTGAGCTTTACTGTTCCTTCCAAGATAACAATGTACTGGGTCACTGCTGTTGGGTCAATAATCTTGAGGAGATGAGAGAGCCTGACAAGTCTCTGAGGCACCTTCTGGGGAATGCAAAGTTCATTGGCAGCATTTATTTTTGCTGATCTCAGTCTTTATCTCAAAAGAATCCTACAACTTTATGGAATAATTGCTATGACGCTGCAGTAACAATGCTGCCAAGTCTGGTTATTTAGGGGATTATTTAGAATAGTGTTTTATTTTTAATAAGGGAGGATCGTGTAGATTAGAGCAGAGTTTTCTGCTCTAATTTTTTTCTTTTTTTTTTTCCCTTCAGGAATCTTTTTTTTTTTTTCCTTCAGGAATCTTTTTTTTTTTTTCCTTCAGGAATCTTTTTTTTTTTTTCCTTCAGGAATCTTTTTTTTTTTTTCCTTCAGGAATCTTTTTTTTTTTTTCCTTCAGGAATCTTTTTTTTTTTTTCCTTCAGGAATCTTTTTTTTTTTTTCCTTCAGGAATCTTTTTTTTTTTTTCCTTCAGGAATCTTTTTTTTTTTTTCCTTCAGGAATCTTTTTTTTTCTTCCCTGTATCTAGTTTCTTTGGTGCTGGTGCAGTGGAGGCTCCTCAAGTCTGTTAAACTCCATTCACATTCCCTGTATCCATAACCAGTTTGTATCAATCCCACATTTTGCCCAGTGAACTTTTCTTAGGCCTCACAACTCTTCTCTCCACCAGGACCATGAGTGTCAACAGGAACAAAGAACCGAGGACTAAAACATCCCCTTCCTCTAGCAATCTGGATTTTTCACTTTCACAGATGAGGCCTCCGGAATTTGAATAGTCTAACAACATCTAAGACTGATACTTGAAATCAGTGTTTTGCCAATGAGCCAGAAGCTTGCCAAAGAAATATGGGCTGTCCCTTTGTACTGGCCTGGAAGCCAGAAGTTATTTTGCTGTGTTTGACCTTGAGAAAGCTACTGAGCTTCTCTACCTCTATTTTCCCCTCTGCAGGAGTGGTTGCATGTTACTGCCTCACCTATTATCTAGTGCATATTAGTAATTTAATGTCTTAAGGTACATTAGAAGCATGTAATAGCTATTCAAGTCCCAGTTGTTCTTATGACTTCAAATGGCAGTTAATTCCGGGATTTTTTTATTCAGTTTTATTACAGACATTATAGAACATTAAGTTCATTTGCACACTTAACGCTTTTGATTGCAAACATTTTCTGGTACTCGTAACGTCTATTCATAACCTATTCTCAGAAGGGCAATCTGTCCCTTGTCATAGTATGACTATTATGACATGTCATTTGTGCTGCCAGTTTGCCTCTATTTTCCCTGATAAATTACCAGCTTTATGATAGATTAAGCTGCAACAGAGAAGAGTGTAATTTCCACTCAACCTTTTTTCTGCAACCTCTGTTGCTAATTTGTCCCCTACTGCCGACGACTTCCCACTTCATCCCAAAGGGTATGTGTCAAGCATAAGTAAAACTCTAGATTCCGGTATCATTTTTTACCTTTTCGGAATGCATTTTAAGAGTTGATGAAAATCTGATAAGCCTTGCCACCAAAATCCACAGAAGGTTTCATTCTCCTGACTTAAATGAATTTGAGAAGAAAGACCATGCCCAAAAGCCGTGTGTGCCACAAACAGCAGCAAAAGAAGCTTTAGAAACCCTCCTGTGCCACTGGAATATATCTTTCATTTTGACTTAAGGAGGCAGCTTCTTGATCTGAAATAGCCTTATTTTCTGCCTTGCCCATATATTTCTCAGTCTGTCTGGTAAGATGACAATTAATTTCAATTACTCCATGGGCCATTGTGGGCTAGCAGCTGAATCAAGGCCCAAGTTTGCTCAATGTATGTACTGAAGAGCTCTTAAGTGGCAGTATCTCACTCTGGGCTAGAATTGCCTCTGTGGCAGAGCAGTGAAAAATCGCTGTGTCCAAAAAGACAGTGTGTGAGACCAGTTCCTCTGGGACACCCAGTTCAGCTTCAGACTGTGGATTTATGAAATGAAATGCATTAGACATTCCTGCCAGTGTCTTGTAAATCTTATAAAACGTATTTGAGTCAGAAAACATTTATCTTCCATAAAACTTGTCAAGAGAATTGCTTTTTGTCTAAACTTCAGCATTGCCTAAGGATAGAAACACTTAATATTTATGGCTCTGCCTTCTCTTTCTGTCTCTCACATGTATGCCTGTATAGCAGAAATGTATATACAATGCTTTGAAGTTTTTTCAGATTTTTGTTTTAACTGATAAGTACAGAATAGTGTACTGTGCATCTGAAAACATGCTGATAAAAATGTAACTCTTTATTCCACAATCAAAGAGCCTGGGATGACAGATGAGAAGTGTGCTTTTTTTTTTCCCACTAAATTTTACAGGAGGGATTTCACTTTTTTTTTTTTTTAGATTTTGTCTGTGCTATGAGTCACTCGTATGTTTAAATTCTGATTTTTCATTAAAATCTTTTCTAACTAGAAACATTGGAAGCTATAGAGGCAGAATTTTTTGCTGTTTTGATCATGTTGATGACGCAACAGTAATTGCAGGTGCTTGTACTAGTCACCTATGAATCACTGAAATCTATGTGTTAAGATACATTTATCTTAAGTAATTGCTTAGCTGTGGCTTTGTTTTCTAATTTTATTGAAAAACCTGAAGCTGATTTAAAATAGACTGTTTGACATAATAGTGTGCTATTTGGTAAATAATGCTAAAAAATTTTGTGGTGTAGACCACCAAACCATGTGGGGTTTTTTGCTGATGATCCAGAGGAATTTATACACAATGGAAATATCCAGTGACCTTGATTCGTCTTTCTGAAGTATACTGCAATACTGCATGCATTTCACAAGTGCTTTGCTTAGACAGCTGACTTAGTCAAAATGCTGTGGAAAAGGCTGATTTTAATCAAGAAGAACACAAAACACCAGGAAAAATGAGGGGCTTAAAATAGAAAGTAGTATTATCAAGAAAGTGGATGATTCAGAAAAATTACAATTGAGATGAGAAGCCGTCTATTTCTAGATCAATAGTTCAAATAAAGATCTAGCGTAGTAATTTGTAAATCTTGTTGCCATCTGATACCTGCATTGGTAACCTAAATTGGTGAACCACTTTGATATCTGCTGCCCTATGGGCACACCCATAAGGATGCATCTGTCACCTACATACATCCTTCCCAGAACAGGGAAGCACCAAATGGTCCTGGATGCTGAACTACTTTTTGCTCCTTCCATTTGTGCTTCCAGAAGGGACTTAGTAAACTCGTACTTACTCTCTGTGTATGTATTGTTTTAAAATTAACTGAATGATCTAGTGGTTGAATTCACCATTGCAAGTTTTTTATTTCTCTTTTTTTTTTTTAGCAATGTTAACAGAATTTCACAGCATTTTAGTTTCTTTTGTAAATTTAATTCCAGTTTTTTTCACTTCCTACTTTTCCTTTTAAAAAAGTTACACAAAAAATACGTTACAGAGAAAACAGATTTTAAAAACAAAGTTAATATAATTAAAATTATTAAAGCATATCAGTAAATTAAAAGTTAGTTGAAAGTTTTTAAATACTAAATATAGTGCATTTATGTGTTATTGCAAGAATTCAGCTGATGACTCCTAAAATTACTTCCAGGATTAAAAAAAAATGTGGGTCAAACTCATTGAAGTCTAGTACAAAAATTCACAGGCCAGTTCTTCATGAACCTTTCATGCTTTGTGGCACAAAACATAGACTATCACTAAGGAAATGGAGTGACTCTCTTCAAGGCCTCCAGTAAAGCAATACATCTCTTTGCTGGTTAGCCTGCAATGTAAATGTTGCAATTAAGAAAATTATTTAAGAAAGAGAAGTGTTTCAAGATGCAGAATGCCTCTGGTAGTCTGAACAGGCTAAAATAGTCAAAGGAATTGAGGCTATTCAGCATTCACTAAGGTCAGAGCCAAGTTTAGGTGCCTCAAGTGGAACCTGGCCAGCACATCTGGCGTCGCATCTATGTTCTTGTGGAAAGTAAAAATGGAAGTTTGACACAGAGAGGGTGTCTGACAGGAAAACATTCCCCACCTTTTCTGCAGCTGTTGCCTCTGCTGGGACTTAAGAGAGAGAGTGGTTGCTGCTGACTCAAAAGTAAACCTGAGCAGCCATCATTTCTGCCTGCCAGTTGCTCATTCTCTTTCTATATTGGAAAAGCAACATGAGCTATTAGATAAAAATGGCTGGGAAACTTGGTTCTGTTCCTGACTTTTTCTTTCACCTTTTGTTTGACTTTGATCTTCACCTCCTCGTGTTCCAGTTTCCATACTTGTATTGGGTATTAGGAAAAATTTCTTCACTGAAAGGTTTATCAAGCATTGGAACAAGCTGCCCAGAGAAGTGGTTGAATCGCCACCCCTAGAGATATTTAAACGATGGTTAGATGTGGTGCTCAGGGACATAGTTTAGTGGTGGACTTGGCATTGGACTCAATGATCTTAATGGTCTTTTCCAACCTAAACAATTCTATGATTCTGTGATTGATATGTTCCCTGGTAAAGGGCTTTGAAATCAACACATAAATAGAGCTAAATGGTAGTAGTACTGATGGCAGGCCTGAGCCTGGTAAGCTGCAGGAAATGATTGATCACACTTCATGTGACAAAAGAAATATGTTGTTAGCTCTAATTCAGATTGATCTTCAGCACCTGGCTGGAGTGAGCAGTCTGGGCAGGAGAAGGGATATCGTCACTGCAGCCCCCACAGCACATAACTGTGCCATTAGCAAACAAACCTCCCGGGCTTTAGCTCCCTCCCTCTCACCAGCTCCCAAAGGCTCTTTTCTCCAAGCCAAGTTTCTCATGCTCAGTTCCCTGAGCTTCAGTCATACCCTTCCATTCCCTCAAGTCAATCAGCATCTTGCAAGTCATGGTCTCCCTCTGCCTTTCTACAGTCCTCCTCTACAATCAATACTTTCCTCCCTTCCCACTCCCTTACTCCACCTTTTGCATTCAGGTGAGACATTTTCTCCTTACTGCCTGCACACCAGTGGGGAGGTGACACAGACACTGGGCTGAAGACGTGCTTATTGCTCTGAGCGGCTGGTGCAATTCCCACTAAGACTGTATTTGCTGCAGATCTTTTGTTCTCAGTCCTGGCTGCCAATATTTCTGTCTGCATGCTGTTCTACCTCTCCCTAACAAATGTTGTGCCTTAAATCTAATCTATACTCTGTTTAAACCCATTAGATGTCTTGCTAGTCATGAAGATCTTTCTGTCCTCATTTCCTCTCAAAAAGGGATGAAAGACCACTACTTTCCTCAATACAGTGAGAGAAGCAACTCAGTCTTCCATTGAGCTGTTTCCTTGAGTTTATTTATTTCTTTTTCTTTCCCAACAGCTCTGGTTTACACACAGGTGACAGTGTTACAAAAACGGGACCTGGGGGCCTTCCAGACATGAGACAAGTGCCAACTGTTGTGATCGAATGCGATGACAATAAAGAAAATGTGCCTCATGAAACCAACTATGAAGACTCTTCCTGCCTCTACACAAGACAGGAAGAGGAGGAAGAGGAAGATGAAGAGGAGGATAACTCAATATTTAAAAGTAAGACTCATTCCATTTTTTCCTTCTCATTTATTTAATTTTTCCTCTGAACTCTCATAGTACAAGACCTGTGGATTTTCTTTCTTGACTGTGGCTTTCACATCTTTCAGGGCTTGACTACATGAGGACACTTGATAAATTAATCCAAAATAAAAATTAGTATGAGTTTATAGTGATTTCCCTAATCCACATGAATCCTTATCCAGATAGCTGTCAGAGTTCAAATGATTGGTTTTGGCTTATATTAATTCACTTCCAAATTCACTTTTAGGTCCACTTTCCCAAGTGTCCATGGTGTAGAGAATTCCTGCTTTGGGCTTAGTTTGAGATCAGGTTTAATAGAGTTACTTCAGGAGGATGAAATAAGTGATACTGATAGAGAATCAGAGCTTTTATATATATTATTAAACCATGTCAGAATTGTAGGTCTGCACATACTTTGAAAGGGGTCACGATTAGAGAATCAGGCTCAGGTAAGAAAAGCAGAGGTTAATTGATAGCCATATTGCAATTACAATCTGGAGAGGGACCTGTAGCCCCTTTCTGACCTCTCTGAGAAACCCATCTCCTGTCTCAGTGTGGCATCATAGGATAGGACTCTCCCAGGAAGACAAGATGCTATACTTTATGTATGACAACTGCTTGTCATCCTGCAGGTCAAGCTACAGTTTCTGGCCCTTGGATTTCTTTTCTTCAGAAAACTGGGAGCAGTACAAACAAAAAAACCCCTTTTAAAAATACACGCAAAGAAGCTGCTAAAACCAGGCATATTTCATCTTCTCAGAATCATCTCTTACCCTGCAAGTGAAATTAAGCAGTCTTTGCTCTTAAACTCAGAAACAGACCAGAACCGCACTATCTCACACTCTCCTCTCAAAGCCCGAAACCCCTCATGTTTGTGTCTCTCTGTCTGCTCGTGTCTGTCGTCCCTGCTCAAACTGCTTTGGATGCAAGCCCAGGAAAGCAAACTTCAGCCATGAAAGGCCACTGGTTTTCACAGGGTCTTTGCCATTGTCACTGCCTGAGAAGCAAGTGTCAGTTAATGTACATAGAGATCTGTGTTGCTTCTGATTGACTTTTGACTCCCTCAGGTGCTAACTTGAATCTCTTGATGTTAAATCGAGAGAGAGAGAGACACCTCTCTCTTTCCACATGCTGTAGCTTTGCTGCCTGCCCAGACTCTGAGGTTGAATTATTCATTCCATTACATGGTTCAGAAACACTGTGCTAAAGAAAGCTACAGATGCTACTAGCACTTCTGAAATAAGCCTTTCTTCTCCACTCCCCTCTATGGAGCAATATTTTAATTTCTTTTTCCCATATACCTACAAAATTCAGCTTTTCTTTATTATGATATGAATTGAGGTTAATTGAGCACATGAAGTTAATTGATGCCCCTTTCCCACAGTCCATACCAGCATAAATGAGATCCTAGTATCCTCCCTTGGCTAGTACTTCTTTACCTGCTGCATGCTGTAATGAAATGATGACACCTCCTTTGGCAGAGCCTCTCCTCTCTCCCACAGGCTCCCTGGCAATGAAAGTCTGCAGGCAGGACTCTTTAGCAATCAAACTAAGCAACAGGCCTTCCAAGCGAGAGCTGGAGGAAAAGAACATCCTCCCCATGCAAACTGATGAAGAGAGGCTCGAACTCAGGCAGCAAATTGGGACAAAGTTAACAAGGTAGGAGACAAAATGTTTTTCTGGCTCTTGCTTTTGGAAATGTGTGGTAGAATGCAGTTTTTATCCTTAGGCTGTAAATGTTTCGCATCTGTTTGTTCACAATGTTCAAGAGGAAAAGGCAGGGACGGGGGAAGAGGGGAAAGACTGTAGACACTATTTCTGCTCAAATATAACTTCCTATACAACTCCCCATCTCATTTTCCTGGCATATTCTATGGGATGTTTGGTTGTGTTAAGTGTCAGCAGGAACTATGTGGATTTTGTTGGGTTTGGTGCATCACTGGGAAATACTGAGCTTTGATAACATTTTGGACCATAGCTGCAGGTGTCATTTGATAGGCTGTTAGTTTGGCCAGTGGGCACAGGTATAACTTCTTCTGACTGCATCTCCCATGAGTAGCTGAGTCTTTTCCTGATCCAAAATGCTTACATCCTTCAGTACCTGCTTTTGTTGCATCAGGTTGGACAAATTTACCCTGTCTAGACTCTTTTTTTCTTCACAAAAGCATTACTCACCAGCTGTTCTGGTTTTCTGTGTTGCGTGGGTATAGAGGGGTGGCCATTAAATGTGGGAGATTCCTGTCACTAATTATTAAACTGAAGTCAGGTAGATATGTCTAAGAACCTCCTGTACATCAGACATGATTTCTGTAATTAGTTTCATACTGTTATGTTATCAACTTGGTGGTATAAAGATGGTGAATGCTGTTAGTTGTCCTCCAGCGTGACTCCCAAGAAAACCAGAAGACCAACTAGTTGTTGGGAATTTCCTTGTGGGTTTTATTTTTTGGTTTGGGTTTGGTTTTTTTGGCTGGGGGGATAAGAGGGGAGCACCGCTGCCATGTTGTGGATACAGGAAGAATAGGAGCTCCTGGTAAATACTTCTTTCAGCTTTTTACCTACTTTTTTTCATGGCCTCATTTATTGCCTCTTTGGAATAAAACAACCGCATCTTTCCAGTCTGTCTTTGAAAGTCTTTGTGCTGGATCATGCTTAGCCTACTCCAAGACCTGTCCAATTCTTCAGTATTCTTGTTGAAGGGCCTCAACAGTGATGCCCAAAGTATGGAAGATGGTGCTGCACTGTTGCTGGTACTATGATTTTTCAGCCCAGTCTTTATTCAGCCCGGTACCTTGTTAGTCTGCAGCTGCACATAGAGCTCTGGGTCCCAAAAAGCAGCACACAGTAGCAAGGTCCCAGTGCTTATATGATTAATTCTGAACCCTTTTGAAACATGTGAAGAGTTGAAATTTTTATCTCTTAGCGTATCTTACTGTGCAGTGCTTGACCTTGCAATGACATTGAATAGCATTTCCACTATGTTGCCTATTTGCCTAAATTACTTGGGTCTCTCAGAACTTTTACAGCTCTGTCTGATGAAGGTAAATAGTGTCATTTGCAAACATTGACTCTGCACAGTTCACTGTGCCCCAGGTGATTTTCATTATAAATGTTTTATATCTTACCTCTCCAAAACCTGCTTTTTCCCCAGTAAAGAATTATTTTTCAGCATCTCTCTTGTTAACAAGGGAAGCTAATTTTGGCAATGCCCAGAATCCTCCCAGTGTAAGCCCCATATTCTTACAATGTTGTTGTTTGTTTCCCCAGTTGCATCTCTGCCCATTCAGTCTGAGGTATAATGCTTGATCTTGTCTTCTAATATAGCTAGGACTTAGGGGCAATCAAAAATAGTTAAAATAAATAAAACTGTGTATATACAAGCTCAAAAAATAGCTCTGTTTCAAATAGCTTCTATTTCATTCCCATTTTATACCAGTATAACATCACTTGAAATTGGTAACATTTTGCAAACCTTGTCTGGAGTAATAGAGTTTCCAGTCTCACCTTTTAATTACTAGTATTTACAACATAGTATCTCATCCTTTTGAGTAGTTAAAAACAATCAAGAAATATGAGGAGAAAACAACTTTCCTCATCTCTAATATGCAAAAAGCCACAGATATTTCAGCAGCAAAGGAGGAAGGTGCCTGTCTTACCAGTGCTATGCATTTAAATGTGAAGCATCCATGTGCACAGACTGATGAATATTAGATAGAAAGAGAGAGAATATTTCAATTTGGATGGTATTTCTTTACTGTCCATACTTCATTACTGAATTCACCCTTTGCCATTACTCAGTAATTGTCACTCAGTGATGCAAATGCCAAGCAAAATTAAAGTAGTGAAGCATTTATAGCCCTTAGAGAAGATGCTAGATACAGACTATAATTGCAGCTGGCAATTTTGGATTTCAGAGGGATTTGTACTGTTCCACCAATGGTCCCTGATGGTTTAAAATAGCCAGCCAATGAAATCACTTACAGAAGTAAAAAATGCAGAATAAAAACTTAAGCAAATAGTTATTGTCTGTAATGGGTCAATTAATTTTCACCAAGAGGCTGATTAGGATACTTCAGTATTTATGCATAGTGCTCACAGTATTTAGTTTGGAAGTGCTTATTGGCTGGCACATTTGGCAGATCAGAGTTTAGTACTATAAAGAGAACGTCATTTTTAAAGATGCTTATAGCCAGGCATATTGAGAGATTGACCATTGACATATTGTGTGGGACCAAAATCATCCCAGGTGTAGTTCCTCCAGCCTTACTAGAGCTGTACCAGGAATCAATTTGGCTCAGAGCTGTTTGTTCAGATCCTGTTTAAGTGTAGCTTGGAACCTCTGAACCTCCAGTTAGTCCCAGAAAATTGTTATGACTTTATTATTGCATCTGCCAACTGGTGGAGAGACTCCAGAGCAGACTTCACCATGTCACCCGTTTCCCGTGCTGGGAGAACAGTGGTCTGGCTTACACACCAGACCAGTTGTAGGGGTGAGGCTGCAGAGACCATATCTTACAGCAGGATCTGGCCAACTACACAGCTGAATATTTGCTCTGCCGTGAGACAAATTAACACCCTTGTGCCTATTGTAAACGCTTCACACCAATGTAGCACTTCGCTGGTGTGTATCTTGCATCAAGACTGAGCAAATGTAGATCCAAACAAAAATGGATCTACATCCAAGACAGCAAAATACCTTCTAGCAAAGGCAGGAGAGCCCACAACATGTGAATTCCAGCCGCACAAACAGGCCCACGCACTGTAGAGTATTTGTGGGTAGTCTTTACACAGCAATTAGAGCACTGATTAGACAACCTCTTCCTATAACCCAATCAGAATGGACTACTAAAATGTGATACTTACTATGAAGCAAGGAGCAAAAATAGTGAAATAATAAGCAGAACTTCAGCTCATAACCACATGGGACTTGGGGGTAGGAAATGGATGCTGAAGGCCATGTTCTTGGTGCTAAAACCCCTTACAACTCCATTAATTTCTGCTCTGAAAAGCAGACCCTCTGCACTAAATAAATCTTTATCCCTCTGGTGCCTGCACAGCTTCACAGCTGCTCATGAAATACTTGTAAGTGACTGTAAGATAGAAAAGGGAAAACAAAATAAAAAGCAGGACTCTCGAAGTGAACAGGCAGAGGGAAAAGACAGAGTTCTGTCTTCTGCCTGTCTCTCTGGCTACGTCAGGCATTCTGGAAAGCACTGGTTGCCCAGGCTAGAGCAAGGGGCAGGAAAACCTGGATTTAGCTTTGAGTGGTTATCAGGGTGAAAGGAGTGGAGCATATTTGGGCAATGACTGTGCCTAAAATGTGATACTTACTATGAAGCAAGGAGCAAAAATAGTGAAATAATAAGCAGAACTTCAGCTCATAACCACATGGGACTTGGGGGTAGGAAATGGATGCTGAAGGCCATGTTCTTGGTGCTAAAACCCCTTACAACTCCATTAATTTCTGCTCTGAAAAGCAGACCCTCTGCACTAAATAAATCTTTAAGTGGGTATGGTTTTCATTTTTCCTGCCTGCTCAGCTTCTCCCAAACTCCTCCTTCGTTTTATCCCTCTGGTGCCTGCACAGCTTCACAGCTGCTCATGAAATACTTGTAAGTGACTGTAAGATAGAAAAGGGAAAACAAAATAAAAAGCAGGACTCTCGAAGTGAACAGGCAGAGGGAAAAGACAGAGTTCTGTCTTCTGCCTGTCTCTCTGGCTACGTCAGGCATTCTGGAAAGCACTGGTTGCCCAGGCTAGAGCAAGGGGCAGGAAAACCTGGATTTAGCTTTGAGTGGTTATCAGGGTGAAAGGAGTGGAGCATATTTGGGCAATGACTGTGCAGCAAGGATACAAGACAAGCTCTGAATCTGAGCTGGTTCTCTCAGGGGCAATGATAAAGGCATGGCCTGTCGGGTGCCCCTGGCGAGGAAGAGGGCCAGCACTGCTAGGTGATGCACATCAGAGCCACGTGTCTCCCAGAGAGTGTGGGACCATCCCCTGGTACTGAGATGGGCACTTCAGTGCTGGTCCTTGCGCTTCTGTTTCCCCAAGGAATCATAATGGTGATCGTAAGAGACCACACAGACTTCCTCAATCAACATATTATTTAGTAAGCACAAAAGCCCTTTAGAGAAAATGTATCTATAGATTACTGCAGGGCTGCATACTACTCCAGACTTTGCTGAGGACTTTGCACTCCCTTGAACTGGGAAGACCTGGTTTCTGTGCGTGTTTTTACCAACATCTCTCCCGTACCTTGAGACAATGTGTGTCTTCAGACTGTGGCTGATCACATCCTACAAGAGAGGCTTTCTAAAGCACTCAAGTCTTATTTTGAGTCTCTTAACCCCCCAACTCTAGTGAAGGTGCTCATTAGCAATTAGATACAGGAATATCAAAACTGACATTTTAATGCATGGCAGTGTCCTTATCTGGTTTCCCTGAATTGCTTCTATCCTGGCTTTTCCCACCTCCTGGAATAGGATGACCGACTCACACAAAAAATGTGGTAATCTAGAATTATTAGCAACAGATTGCTAATAACCAAAGTTAAGGGACTTCTCAATAATCACAGTGTTGTTACTGGTCAGCATCGTGTCTGTCCCAGCAGCATGCTCCTGCCCACCTGAGGGCAGAGGGCAGACTGGCTGCAGGTC